CAGAATTTCCTCACGTCTTTTATTACAGATTGATAAATAGTGCTCCTATTTCGCAATAAGAACGAATAATTTATCAAAAAGTAATCAAGAACTATCACCTAGAGGATATCCTGCAACACACTTAGGCTCAAGCTGTAAGAGAAAATTCCAATTAGAAAAGAAAAAAGTGTGGCAGGATACCTTTACTTTATGATAAATAATTCGTTCTTATCGACAAAAATTTTTGAGGCGAAATACCCAACAAGAAGTTTGTAAAAAAATCGAAACTTATCCGGTTCCAAAGTTCCATTTATGCGTATAGCGTCGATTTTCTTGAGCAGTTTGTATCAGATCTATGCCTGTGTAAACGTGCAGGATATACAGGGTGTCTCATTGAAAATATCAAAGTTGTAGGTACTTTCCGATCTAAGCGGCCACGTTGCGCAGCTGAAAATATTTTTAAGCGATATCCGATTGTGGTGCAAATTTTCCCGATTTTTCGCTTAGTCAATGGTGAATCACCCTGTATATACACACACACACACAAATAAGCGACCAGGATTGGCAAACACAGCTATTTATTATATAAGATTGGGGTGGCGCAAAAAATCCGAGTTAATTAATCGTTTAATTTGCGATTAATTATGATTAAAAGTTGAGACTACTTACCCAGATTTTAGCAGGTCAAATTTTTGAAAAGCAACCACCACCTACCTGCGTTTTAGCGGATTACATAATGTACCGGTGCTTATTGCAGAAACTAGTCGGACGACAAAATGGTCATAATTTCGTATTTATGGGACGAGAGAAGATAAAGTTGTGGACCGTTTTTTGAAGAAATCGGCATGGGTGATTTGAATGTAAAGCTTTCGAATTAATGCATTAATCGGCCAAAGTGCTGTTTGACTTAAACCAGCGTAATTAAGGCGAAGAAATTGACTAAAGGCGCAATAAACTTACAAAACACCACCAAGTAGGGAGAAGTTCGTTTAAATAGATGGCCAAAACGGCCGACTTACCGCCCAAATGAGGAATCCAAAATGCGCTTTATATGTATGGAAGGAATGAGCACACCCACTCAGAAAAAGTATCACACATACACCTGAAACGATCCTTACCTTGCTGGATGGTAACACGACACAAAATCTTCGAGCGAGAGTGAGAGTCATCTTTATACCTATTGGTAAAGATCCTATTCAGCGCTTTTGGGGGAACACCGCAGACCGCGCGAATTACGTTCGATGCTGTCCGCCACCACCTCTTTCATGGGGGTTTGAAAAATCCCTCTAATGAGGCTGCCCAGAGGGCAAAGCCCGAATTAATCGAGCAAACTATGGCCTTTCCATGTGGGCCGTTTGGTTTGATTGCTGCTCATCTTGTCCCCGGACTGATTACCTAGTAAACTTTAATGATTAGCAGCAATTTAGAGCACCTTTACACCTGATAAGGCTGGACCAGTGACCTTGCCATCAAATGACTTTCGCCAGCAATCCGAGTCAATGTCAGTCAAGACTATGCGAGGGATCGCACTTTACCGTTTTTTTTCGCTTTACAATGAAAATACCAAAAGGTTAATCGAGCAATAGCAGTTCGACATTTCGACCCGCATTTTGCATTTCGTGATCGTTTCGATATTAAAATCAGTCAATTTTTTGCATAAACATGCCATTTAAGTTGTGGGCCAATCTCTCTTTTTTCGCATTTCAGAATCCGTTGCCGCTTTGAAGTTGGATCAAAAAAATTTGAAATTTGAAGTAGAGGTCGTCTTTTTCTTCTCGTCACCAATCAAACATGGGACTATTTCAAAAGGATACTTAATGACAAAGGATAAATTCTATTGTCTAACGTTAATATCTTCTCGAAAAAATGTTTACTATATTTGTTCATGCTCTCCAAGTGAGCCTCTGTAACCCTTAATAGGACTGACGCCAATTTTGAATCGCCCTGTATTTTGAACTGAAAAACATACTCGACATGGATTGATTTCAGTAGATTAAGGTCAACAAACATGCATGTGAAATTTGCCCAGAAGACATCCAATGGAAGAAAACTTCCAAAAGAGCTCAGATTTGCCTCAAATTTTGTATCTTCATTCTAAGGCCGTTCAGATTGGAAATAATCGAAAATATTGGGCCATTTTTCACGGTTTCGTACTATAGTCTATTGAGAAACTCCGTAGGGCGACAGTTATACCTTACGCTGACAAATGCACAGGTAAAATGTAGATTTTTGGTGGAAAACCACTTACCTGACTACCATTTTCATCCCAACGCAGGCAACTGCCAATATGACTAGACGTTCAATTGACGTAGATTTTGAGCCACATTTTGACATTTTCATCAATCAACATGACGTAATTTGTAAATTGAAGTAAGCGAACTATAGTTGTAACGTCATAATAGAGACAAATCGATATTTGTATGTTATTCAAATCACTGTTTCGCATTTATGCAATGGATTTATTACGAAAAGCTGGCTTTAATATTATTAATGGTTAAGATCGTTCACTTTTATGTCGCTTTTGGCTCACGATACGGTAATAAAAGAGTACTCACAATACAGGGTGGTTCAAAATTGGCGTCATTCCTTTTAGGGGGTAATAGGGCTCACTTGGAAAGTACCAGAAAAATATGAAAAATGTTTTTTCGATAATTTTTAGAAGATTGAAAATCGCTTTTCAACTTTGTTTTTAAGCAATATTTTGAAATTGTCCCATTTTTTATTGGTAGCGTGTTGGAATACTTAAGCATTCGAAAAGAAAAATTACGAAAATTTTTGACATTGAAAAAGTTCTCTATTTTATACAATTTTCAAGTCAAAGCGGCAATGATGTTTTTTGTCATTAACTGATAGTTACAGGTGGATATCCGCTGTCATTAATAACAATAACCACGTTTTTTAACAGAATTTTTAATCGAATGAATCTAAAAGTGCCATTTTTCGATCAGAAGGGATGAGCAAAAAGAAGCACTTTTCCTTACTGTTCATTTGTTTTACTTTCACGCACATGTGCGCAAAAGTAAATCTGACAAATTGAACGTGCCACTGTCATAAAGTATTTTCAGGAAAAAGTAAACAACAGGCATTTTTTATAAATTACGTAGATTTATAGAGAACTATTGATCATAATTTAAAGTTTACTTACAATTTGTAAATTATAACTTTGTTACAAGTTCAGTCTCAAAGTCGTACAAATGGTCTATTTTTTGCACTCGCTGATGTTGCCACAAGTAAAACACAATTTTTTCAAAGATCTCAAATTTTATGCAAAATATGCATCTTATACAAACATTATACCGTGAAAACAGCACTTGGATTTTCAACACTCATTGTTTCACTTGTATATGCTTACAAAAGTACACTTTTGAAAAATTATAAACCTCAAAACATGACACTTTCAAAAATGGCATTGACATCAAATTTCAAATATGAAGTTGACGGCTTTTATTTTTGGTTATTTTTATTCATTATAACTTATTATTCGTGTTATCTTCTTTATTCGAATAAAAAATATTGTTCGATACGAGGGCAAAAATCCGTTTTTCTAACTCCTGACGAAACGCCGCCGTTTCCCGTTGACAATTGGACCGTTTCCCGCCGAAAACTACTAATCTCGTTGACTATTGGACATTTACAAAAAGTAGATACCTATATTGAACCAATCCTGTTGAATTTACCGTTTATCCTTATCTATTTTAATGTCACGTTTTCTATTTTTCGATGGTTGCCGGAGTTTTTAATAATTACGAAGGAACAGGTATTTACGTAATGTTAATTATACAGGTTACATTGAAAAACATTGTTGCCGTCTTTCTGATGTAGCTTTTTACAAGTTTCTCGGTTTTTAATGACAATTAATTTTTTTCACTATTTTTTCCGTTCTCCTAAAACACCTCCAGAGGAATGTCGCCAATTTTGAATCACCCTGTAGTTGATCCCTTTCCAACCACTTTTTAGTTGGATCTTTTTTTTCAATGCTATTTTCGGTCAGAATTACATTTTTTTGCTTCGGAAAATATCACAAAACAAACGGCATTGAAGACTGCAATGGATTAGGAATGTAAAAGTTTTTTATGTAAAACTGTTAACGATTAAAATATGAAACTAAAGTATTATAATAGTCCGATGTCTGGCCGGTTTTAAATTAATTAGTTATGAGGCCGAGAATATTTGCTTTTTCATCTCGTATCAATGTTGACAAACAACAATGACCGCTAACGCAACAGTTTGCAGCTCGATGTTAAATGTTCTAAACAGTCTCCTAAATATACAGGGTAATTTTACTTATTAAAATGCAAACAAACAGTGCAAAAACACGTATTAAGGACCACAATTGTCTGATTTATATAAAAAAAACTGCTCAGCACATAAATGAATGCTCACATGTTATACAGCGTACATTCCATTTGACTCATAGACAAACAGGGCTGTACTTAAATAAAGTTGCTGAAAGTTTCAGAAAAACCAATTTTGATCTTTGACCTTTGATATTTGCACCAAAAATAATATAATTGAAAATGAAAAATTTGGGCTTCTTTCCGTAAGAATACCTGTAATACATTTTTGGAACACAAAGTCGCCGCAAAACGCAGGAAAATTTTCAAAAATACATTACTCAAAAAGTCAGTTTTACAAAAATTCAGTATTCTAAATATTCAAAATTCAAATCATCTTTCAAGATTATTGCAAAATTTCATGTTTTCCGTCCCGTTTTGCATGTTTCTCGGACGCAAAATGAGCAAGGACGCTCATTTGTACATCATTCTAGAGAGAAATAAATGGCCTTTTTAGAAAGTGAACCATCGATAAGGAAATGTTGACAGTTTTCTCAAAAAATGCTTGAATTCAAGAAGTTTTAGATTTGCGTGGTTTTTTTGAGTTGCAAAATCCACTTGAACATGACGCTGCTTTTTTCGAAGTTTCTCAAGAACCATTTGAGCCGCAAAATTCGTTTTGGCATCGTTGGATAGAGAATTGAAAAGTCGATTCAGTCGTAACAACGCGAGTGAGGAAATTCGAGTAGTTTTGACCCAGAAAGCGAAATTTGAATATTAGACACTTAGGTGCAAGATTATGCCAAAATTCCATGTTTTCCGTCCCGTCTTTGCTCATATCTCGGAAGCAAAATGAGGAAGAACGCTCATTTGTACATCATTGTAGAGAGAAATAAATGGCCTTTTTAGAAAGTGAACCATGGATGGGGAAATGTTGGATCCGCCCTTGCATTATAGACGCGCTAAAAACAAGCAGCCTCAATTTGGACACACTTTATTTATCAGATTAGCCGAAAGCGAACAGTTTAGAAGAGTTGTGTACCTTGCATGGGATTTTCAGTGGGAAATCCTCGACTCAACACATCACATTCCCACTTAGCAACCTTTAATGATTCCATCAAAAGCATTACATACACACGACAAAATCAAGGTGACATAATTGCTAATGCATACTGAAATAGACTAGCAATTATGATCTATTGATCAGGGTCTGGTGGCCTCGACGAATCTTTATCTTTCACACAACGGGCCGCGGCCCATCACTTAATTCGCACAAAAGCAGAAGGCCTAACGAGCTAATAGAAATCTTCCGATCGAATCGAATCAGGAAACAGCCATTGATTATAACAATAATTTCGAAGCGATGCAAATAAAGGAGTGCATGCAACCGCTGTAATAAAGCGGCATCGTCTTCAATAGGTGACGTCCTGGGAAGTTAGGCTCTTGAAATGCGTAAATAATTTAATTGCCGCAAATTCCACGATAGATAAACAAGCGGATTACAAAGATCAGTCGTTCTAATAAGGCACCATCCTCGTCTCAGTGGTTACCAAAAGGCGGTCAAGTTTAATGTGCTTGGCCATTATAATTTCAGTTTTACATTAAAACCGCTTAAATTATCGGATAAATCTGTCAAGGACCCGATCATCAACCCATCTTCACTGATAATCGTAAAGACCACGAGGTTATTCTGCCACGAGTTGAAATTGCTGCACAAGAACAAGTTAGCAAAAGAGTTAAGCTTTCGTGGCCATTTGCCTGTACCTGGCGAATTTTGCGACGACTTTTAGGCCGTGCGAACGTACGGAAAGGAGTCAGGAGGAAATGCTTATCCACCACGGCCTAAAAACCCGCAACTCACCAGTCTCAAGAACAAGTGGCTGCTATAAAAATCAATTGACTGGTTAATTGCACTATTCTCCACAGCGCAACACACACAAAACCAAAGTTTCACGTGAAAAAAAGTAGCATTTTCGATACTTAACGTGCTATATTTTATGGGCGCACAATGTTTTGGAACTGTTTTTTTCTCGACAAATTCAATAGGTACACTAAACAATAAATCTCTTAAAGCCCTAATTTCCTGAGTAAAATACATACAACGCTACAGATTTACGGGTCGACAATACATACATCAAACGAGTAACAGATAATTAGACAATGTTGTGTGCCCTAGCAAATCGCTGAAGCACTGAAATTGACCTCTGGAAGGCATCAACTTTCAGGAAATGAATATCGAATTGCCACTGAACAACAAAAAGAAAATTTATCGAATAAACTAAACAACGTAATAGTCAATAGAAACAATTTTTTTGGAAAACTTGAAACAAATCACGCTCAACTTATAAACTATATAACACTATTAAAATATCGAAAACAAAATAACCGCTTAGATCGCAGAATCGTCCGAAATGACTATTAAGTAGAATTAATTACAACAATATAGAGAGGAATTTTGCGAAGCTTTCGCGGCTGTACATATTCAATGAACCATCCAGGCCCTGTAAATGTACGCGTAATATGGCAAAACCGATCCGATTCATTGAAAACAAAAAATCCCTTGCTGCAAGTGGAAATTTTGGAAACCTCCAGAAAACTTCAATATGTACAAGAGTTGGAGTTATTAACTAACTAAACTTCAGTGAATCGCAGAACTTAACATTGAAAAAGCGCGACAAGCCACGCGTTTGTCTACTCCACTGCAGGTTCCATATGAAAGTGGCGATTATAATAAGTTAACGATAAAATTTACCTACAATACAATCCTGCAAAACCACTGGACATTTTTCTACTTATGCTGTGCTGGAGTTTTGCGATGCTCCACTCACTGGGCTAAACACCGCCATGCTGTTCCTCTTGAAACTGCCCATATCGTCATGCGGCCACAAAGATTCCCCGAATAATGTGGAAAGTGATGTGCACAATTTTTTGTAGTTTTGCCTCAGCACTTCTTGATACTCTTGCTGGTCTTGAGCGACCAATTTGGCGTTGATTTGTAGCGCCGAGTAGCAGATTTTGAGAAATTCCCTAAAAATATTCAAAAACCTCTGATTTATTTTCCTGATTGCGTGTACTTGTAATGATATTCTTATCTTTCCTGAGTCTCAGTCAAAGTGTGAAGTAAAAATCTGAATATTATTTATTTCATTACGTTTCGGCGAGACAACAGCGCCATCATCAGATTTAAAATTTACACAAACTCATGATTGGTAAAAATCAACGTCCTTTTAGGTCTTTTGACCGAAAAGGACGTTGATTTTTACCAATCATGAGTTTGTGTAAATTTTAAATCTGATGATGGCGCTGTTGTCTCGCCGAAACGTAATGAAATAAACGATGTTTCAAAATGTTTACTTCACACTTTGACTGAGACCCAGGAAAGATAAGAATATTACCCAAAAACCTTCAGTAAAAGACAACAGCCAGAGAGAAGTTAAGCTTCTGTACCTGTAAATGTCTTTGAGTTCCTCGACTTTATCATCTGGATACATATTGGAGAGTGAAGGATCCAGGAAAACAGTGGCATACGCCAAAGGCCCGGCGTTTACTTGAACGCAAACACTCCCTTGCAGTCTTAGTTGCAGTTTCTTTGCGTCAGTAGGTTGGGTAAAAACCACGTCCTCCAACTCAGCCACGCGGATCTGCATCTCGTCGATCGCCACTTCGATGGGCTTCATTTCCAGAATTTTCCTTGACTCAATGGGGATTTTCTTCTTCACGTAAGGAAAAGTGTAGGTTGCTAAAAGAGCGAACAAACAGTGAAAGTAATCAACTTAAAGCAACGGAAGTACTTTTCAGTATCGTTCGGCGCTTCCACTGCTCTTCTGGGTTTCCTCGCGCTTTGCCGTCTTTCGTAAAAGGTGTTTCATACATGAAGGTGCTGACGTTGTGGTTTTGATCGAACTCCGTTTGCCTGTCCTCGATTTGCACCTTTTCAAAGTAGGGCGTCAGGTGGGTGACTTGGATGTAGGCGAATTTGGGATCCAACTCGCTTTGGACCACCGGTGTGGAGTCCTGGATCATCTTCACGGTATCAGCTCCGAATTTCTCCAAATACTGCCGCTCCAGTCGCTCGGAGATTTCGCTTAGCGAAGTTACTTTCGGTTCTTTGTACACATATTCCTTGGCGCTTTCGTCCTCGAAATAGGAACTTCCGTAGAAACCGACTCGGTAATATCTGCCCAACAACCTCCTGCCCGTCCGATTCACTTCGATGACTTTCTCGTAGTTTAGCGCCAGGTTCTGGTAACACTTCTTCAGCTGTTCATAGTTGCGCTTTTTCTCATACAACGGGATAATCAGCTTGAACAGTTCCCCCATCACTTCATAGCGCTCGGCCTTGTCCAGGAATTCCGCACAAGTTTCCAGCTGCTCCAGCAAAATGAACTCGGTGTACTGAATGTCCTGAACCCCCGAGTCTAGTTTCAAACCCTTCTCGTCTTTGGGGATGTTCGAGGATATGCTGGAAAAGGCCTCAGCGCCCCACGACTGGATCTTTTTTAGTTTGAGATACTCGGCCATTAGGGCTGCGATGTGCAACTGGCAACAAGCAGCCTTGAAGAAAATACACATTAAATTCAATAAGAGTAAGGATTTGGCAGGTTTTTTACCTCAGAAAAATTGCCATCTTTCACATGGTTTCTTGTCATAGTTTCCAACCAGGTGTGCCGCAACTCGGGGGTGGAAGCATACGAGTTGGCCAGACTGTGCTGCAAATCGACCAGCATTTCCGGATCCTGATGATGCTCCCTCATCTGCACTGTGGCCATCAGCACCGTGCGAATCCGCTTGGTCAAGTCCTTGACTTCCGTAGGAAATCCTACGAAAAACACGTCAAGCTCCAGTTTTATCCAAGAAAGTAATCCACAACCAGTACTGACCAGTTCCTTTCATCGCCTTATCGCTTGAAGCGTAGCTGTTGATGAGCGACAAACTTTCTTGGAACCGCGCATTGTTCAAGCCGACAATGTTGCCCAACATTTGCGACACTGAAATGATGACTTGCAAATGCACCCTAGTCAGACCCTTTCGGTTCGTGAACTCGAAATTGCTTCGCATCAGCAGATAGAGAAGGGCGCAGGATTCCTGCCGGATTGAAGCCACTCTACTGTTACAGCATTTTAGGAGTTCGTAGCACAGTTTCCCGCATAACACTGCGTTGCCTGTAAAAATAGCAAAAATTGAAGATAAACAAGATAACAGCAGCGCTCGCTCTGATTGAAGATTTGAGGAAACGCGCTCACCTTGGAAAAATAAGCTTGAATAGTTGTTGATAAAAGCCCGCAAGGCTGCAAACACGTGCTTGAACAAGTTCTCGCTCTGCCCGATCTGAATCAGGGTGAGGAAGAGATCGAACAGTTTCTTCATCACTTCATTGTCGCTGCCGCCGGCCATGAGTTTCTTCTTGAAATGAATCGAGTAGAGCCCGATGCAGTCCACTGTTATCAGCCCCACTTCGGAAGCCAGATGCTGTTCGAACATCGCTTGCTGTTTCTTGTGAACTTCATTATCTGCAACAGAGGGTTCGAATCCAACCAAAACTGCTGTGTTCAACATCATTTAATCGACTTCGTCAAAACACCGACAAACGATCTATTTTCTGGGGGTGTTTTGAGGAAACCTCAAAGAAATTTTCCGCGGCTCAGACTCGGCTTTTCAGTTCTGCACGCAGCATTAGAAAACGTACCGTTGTTAACCAGATTCTCCCTGTTTGTATGAATGACCAAAGTGCTGGAATTCTCGTGATTGATTTCCGAAGGGTTCATTCGCGCCGGCAAAGTGTGAGCTTTTTTGGACTTCGGCTTCACATTCTCCGCATCGGGGGCTTTGACGACGGTCACGTTCCGCAGCCCCACGTACTTAAACCAGTGAAGACTCACTTCCAGCACACTGAAGAAGGTAATGACGTCGGCCTCGGGAAAAGACTGCCACCACATCACCAAGTGCTCGTCGTTCAGATACTTCACCACAAATAGGAACGCTAATAAAACATCTTTGATCTCAGGCGGTTGCAATTTGTCGTATCTGGGCATATGCGACGACGTGCTCCGCTCGTGCAGTTTTTCGCCGCCGCCGTTTTTGTAGGGGCCTTCGCGTATAATTGTGGTGTCTTGCGAGGCTATGGACTTGTCGTCGCTCGACAGAACAGAGATATCTGAGTCGATGCTTAAAGAATGCCCATTTACCAAAGCTGAAACAGAAACGTAATGAAAATGCCACTGAGGTTCCTCTTGGGCTTACATTGACCAGCAATGGCATCAAAGAATGCAGAGTTCCGTATATGCATTGGACTATCCTTATCCAAGTGGAGAGTGAATCTGTGACTCCTCGGCGTGCTTTCGCTCGCCGAGCTTTTACCAAAAAAGTAAGAGCTGCTGGACGACATGCGATTCATCAAACTATCGCCACCCCTTTCTTCGTTCTCCTCCAACGTCAGCCTATTAAAATTATCAATAGCAATTGACAACCAGGGCAGGTAAATTAAGGCGATCCTGGCCATTTGGCCCTTATTCTGATAGCGATCATCCAGCTCATGCTTGGCAATGAGATTTCGCAAAGTGTTCAGCCCGATTCTTCTGATGTAGGTGACTTCGTTCAGCGCCGTTTTAACTTCCTCTAAAAGTAATGCGACGATAAAGTGATGCTTGCAAAACGTCTCGGTTAAGGTCAGTTCATCCAGGGGATCGGGAGATTTATTTCTAGGACTGAGTTTCGACTGTTGAATAGGGAGATTAAACGACACGTAATGCTCGTGGTTACAGACAATCTCTAGAAAGGCAAACTTGAACTCTTGCAACACTCTGGGATCACCGGGGTTAAACTTATCCATGTACCATTTGATTAGCTTAAAAACAAATCCTCTATCGATTAGTGACAGGCATCGCTAAAAGGGAAAAACACACTTGCACTTTCGGACGGACACACGATCAGACGGAACATTTACCTTGAAAAAGTTTGCCAAATTCTGGTTCAGTTCCTTCGTTTCCAGTGGCATTTCCTTGTACTTGTTCAATACGTATGATATCAACACTTGACTGAGATTGTTTAATTGGCTGAGGTATTCTTGGGAGAACCTTTCGTGACGCTGCATCTGAAACAACATCAAGCTCACATTTCCATCTCAAACTCATTGAAATTGCCATACTTTTATTCGGCCAGTAGCCAGCAGATGCTGCGTCATGCTCTTGGTCATAATCTCAAAGAAAAAGTCCGCATGATGCATGAACTTGTTAATGACCAAAAAGTCGGGATTATTCGGATCCAAGATAGCCGGCAAATGTTTGGCGAGCTCTTCATGAACAGTGGTGTTTTTCTTGGTCTCCGACGACACAAAACTGTATTTCACATAAGAGTTCAGAATGTCCTTCCTGTTGTAGTCGCACAGCATATTCACCAAATTGATCATCACCCTGATAATGTTCAAGCCGATTTCCTCGCTGGTTGTCACCACCAACAAGCCGAAGAGCTGATTGAACAAAGTGGGCAGAAAGGTGATCAAAGTGGTCAGTTGGATGGCATGCAATGCCTTCAGGATCTTGCAGGTTTCCGATTCCGAAGGAACAACAGCGGGCTTTGGGTCCAGCAAACGTTCAGCATGTACGAACAAATTGAAGAGATGTTGATCTTTGGTATTCACTGTCGAAACCAGACTGAAACCGACGGTGAAAATCGGCTTTTGCCCGTCTACCCATGAGATTTCCGGACCAGCATTCTGCAAACAAATTTACTAGAGAAAAACGCACATTTGAATAATATTTTTCGCGTTCAACTTTCATCGCGTGAACCGGAGATCTTCCGAAGTGAATGGACGTACTTTGAAACACTTTCCTCTTGGGATTTAGTGAAAGAATTGTATTTCATTCACATTCAATCACATTTCAATCATCAAATTGTACACTTACTCCCTTTCCAAGTCCGAACGGATGTACTGATAGATATCCCGGAGGAAGATGAGCAGCCACCGGAACTAACTGAGTATCCATGTTCAATTTTCCTTTCTGCAAGAGCGGTAGCCACGCATATCCCACGCACGATTCGACACCGTTATCCCTTTTCTTGGTCAGATCACAGGAAATGTGATAGAAAGTAAAAAGCAAATGGTGCGAATACAGAATATTAGTGGGCAGACGGATTTTCACTTCTTCGTACCAGCAGGGGATTGTGTTGTGGTGCAAAACTGCACAGGACATGCTCGAAACTAACAGTGGCTGTCCTGGCCGTCCGTAAATGCACTGAAACGGCAAAACTAACTAAAGAATATTTCATAAAAATTCCGATCTTACTGGCAGGCCCTGGGCTTCTTCATTGTCGCTGTCGCGAACCTCCACAACACACGCAATGTTTCTGGCTCTGGTGAAAATCTTTTGAGTGTCGAAGTTCAGGCTATGCGGATACACGTACATGTGATTAACGAATGTGGTGTACGGATGCACGTCTTTCTCCGACTGGCCCTCAAATTCGGTTATTTCAAAGGTCGGTTGATTCGTCGGCGGTAAGGGAAAGGGCTTTAACGGGGCCAGGGAAGCAGTCAAGCAATCTGAACCCAAACGGCTGATTAGTAAGGTAAAACTTACTTCGATTCCTTCACTTACTGGGAGGCAGATCACTGAGGGCCGAAATTTTTATCTCCAAAGAGCCAGGAATCACAGTGAATTTGTTAAACTTATCGGGCTTTCTATAGTCCGAGAGTATTTTGAGAACTTCCTCGTCGGACATTTTGCCACTTTCCTGTCTGTATATGGCATGGAAATCTGATACTGTATCTAATTCATTGCTATAAAGCCTAGAAGAATGAACACACTTGTCTTAAACAACGTCCTGTTGACTGTGGTATTCAGTGCAATTCTCACCTGTATAATGGCCTGGCAGTCCACGCAAAAGGCATCCGGTATTTTCCCAGTCTTTGGCAACAGGTGGCAATGTTTTTGTAGCATTTAATGCCGATTTTCGGATCCCTATTGGCTTTAACGTACGGTTCCGAGCTCTGATTAATGCCACCTTGAAGCACCTTCTCTATTCGAACGAACAAAAATATATCGGGATGGGGATTTGTAATATTAAACAGTCCCTGTCTAGAAAACAACAGCCATTCTGATGAGACTTTCTGCAGAATATCTAGTTTTGGTTGTGACGGTTCGTTACAGCCATTATTGGTAAACGTTGTGCGAATACTATCACTATTTACATCGAAATGGAAATGTTCAGTCAGTTTTCTTCCATTTTTCACATCGAATAGGCACAATGACGTGTAGTATGGCTCGACTTGGCATAGATTATCCTTTTCGTCAACCACTTGCAGCTTTAACTTAATGTTTTCGCATTTTAAAAATACCCTGTTACCAAATACCTCTCTAAACGGTTCTATGTGGTCTTGACTAGAGTTTGGCGACTTCATATTCATGGCCAAAGGGGGAAATAAGAGGAAGAGTTTTTGGCGAGATTCTTTTCTAGAGAGCGCTATGCTAATATCGGTTTCCCGGGCATATTTCATTAGTTGAGGATTCATGCTCTGTTCCAAGCCTTTGAGTGTGCCGAAAGACTGCACTTGGGGTGATGGCGGTGGAGTGCTGCGCTCTAAGTAAAATACCCATTAATTAGTTGGTAGTGATTAGACTAATAATAGAAACTTGCCTCGTTCTAAGGATGCAGCGCGTTTTTCCTCTTGCAGCTTGTACTGTTGCAGCACAGAAAATAGCTTAGTTAGCCAGTCCTTGAAGTCACCTTCATTTTCGGCTGCTAGAACATACGACTTGTGCCCCGCGGTCATTCGCAGCTCGAAACAGTATCTCCCCCTTTTAAGATTCTGAAAAGCCCAGTGCTTTTTCAAGGGTTATCGCTCAATGGAGCACCACAGTACCTTCACTACATCAGTGCAAAAGTCCATAACAACCGTCATTTTGGCTTCGCCTTTCTTCTCATCTTTGTACATCTCCAATATGTACGTGCCGTCGACTTCCTGCCTCAGATAGCAGTATCTTCTCTTGAAGCTCTTGGAGCCCATATTTACAAATCCTCTTTCAGATCCTTAAAACAAAGGCCATCAGCTTTTCCCAAGGGATTGAGAGTGGTTTAAACCCTACCAATTTCTGGTCCTTTCATTAACCAGCCTTCCTTGGTAATATTATCAGATCTAGACTTGATATCACCAGAGTCCTCGTCGATGTCGATTTCGTACAATTCCTCATTGAGATTACAGCTAGCGGGTAAATTTGGCAAATCGGCATAGCCGCCAGAGTATTGAGCATATCGGAAGTGAACTACCTGCCAATTCGTCGAGTAATTTTTGATGCACTGCTTGGTAAAGAGACTGCAGTTTTCCATTTCAGTTTCCGATGGAAGGGTGGGCGACATTGTCCGACAACGTCGGGGTAAAACCACTTGCTAAACACGGCAAAAATCAAGTTTTCCTCAGTTATCTGGTGCACGTACTTACGGAAATATCATCGTTTGGATAGAGCAGCAGCTCCCTTTGCGGGTCATTCTGAAGAACGGTCCGGTGTTTGATAAGAAACTGTTCGAAATCCAGAGGGTCTACTAGATTGGGTTTGCTCTGCAAACAACGTATGTAATTAAACATGTGAAATGCCATTCAGCCAGGCTGCAAATTGCAAAACCGTCACTATGAAGCGATAATAGAGTTTAATTCCTGCTTCAATTGATTTTTATTAGAGCTTTTAAGTGTATTGTTAGCGCACAAAGCAGTGACAAAACAGGCCCCCATTTAAACACTTAGCCAAATTTAAATGAGTCGGGCTATCGCGGACGTTGCTTGGAACTGGTGATTTTATCGGGCTTTTAGACCGGTTGTTGCCCTTCAGCCTAAAAGCCCGAAAAATTCACCAGTTGAAAACGAAATGTTTTTACTTTAATAATCCTACCTGGCCTGGAAACGGAAAATTCATGTCTAGAGCCCAATTAGTAAAAAAACATACAGAGACCAGGCCGTCCCACTCACTGCGTTATTCACACAACCAATACAGTTTCGTACATAAATTAACACAATTGACTAATTATTATTGCAGAAACATAATGCGGGCGCTTAACAATAAGTAGATGTAATGCTTGCCTGGCTTTTCCCCATTGATTTGCTGATGAAGTTACACAGTTAGATAAGCATGACTGTGGCCAACCACTTCCTTACAAAATATAATACAAATATCGCAAAGCCTGACTTAAAGCCACTGTTCATTTTCAATGTTATATGGACCTTAATGTTTGTACCATGCACGTAATTGCTAATTTAAGTTCAATTAGCATGCATGTCAAGTGCTGTACAAGAAGCAGCGAAATGCTTCGTACTTGCCGAAGTATGTGACCGTTTGTTTATAGTGGTCTCTCGAAGTGTGCAGCGAGATTTATTGCAAAAATATAAATAGCTCCTTATTGGCAAAGCTCAGAGGCGGCTATTTTGGTATCAAAAATAGACACTATTAACTACTATATGAAATTGTTATTACTTGACCAAAACAAATCATACGATGTCCTGCCTAGGCTTCAAATGTATGTACATTGGCTGGTTTTTGCTGTGTTTCGTTCGCTTTCGCAAGTAACACTCAATTAACTTACATTTACAGTATTTTCCCTAACTACTTGAGAGACTGTTTCCCTTAGCTGAGCCGCAGTTCCTGGTTTCCCTAGACCTTTGGCAAATTTTCTTTCACTCATTGTTCAATGTCCGCTAGTTTGTTCACAACTTGGTATCACCGATATATCGACATTATTTACCATAACGCCCATTTCGATTTTTTATTCGATTTTTTTTACAACATTCGCATTATTCTGCATTCCTCTTTTTCAAAACACAACGTGACAGTGACAGCTATGACGTAAGCTATCTCTAAATAACACTACGGTCTTGGCTGTTGCCACGTTTTCCAGCCCTTTTGATAGGGGATTATATGTTTAATGTTTTCTGTGGTTTTATCAAATTCTGGACATTTAAATTGCGGTCTATTAGGGATTTAAATCGCTTTTTCTAACCGCCCATGATGCCAGGAGGAAATTTTAAAAAAACCTGCCCAAGCGGGGGTGGTTTTTTGTCCAAAAGCATCCAGTCGGGGCTACATTAGCTCATCCTTGTTGGAATGACTAGTAATTTCTTGCAAATTTTTTCTTTGCGTTGGTTTTTCTCATCACTGATTGCGGATGCTCAAAATAGGTTTGAGCCATATCTGAGAAACCAGGAAAAGTTTGCCAACGGTGTAAATTGTGTAAACAGCTGCTGATTGCGCTGTTGTCAAGTGCCCGCATAAATCCCTGAAAAGATTTAGATCTTCGGTTGAATAACGCCACTTTAAAGATTTGCGTTTGTTACATGCTGAACGGTGGCAACGCAGCTGGAAGTTGTTGTTGACACTGCAATCTAACCTCATTTCTGACAAATCCGTGACCATTCCGTGACGTTTTCCATCCAGGAACTATGGATAATCAACAATTTCATTCCCGAATGTAGTTCCTTTATCCATTTGAGTCCTAGCAGTGGGTGTAATGTTCCTTGTCAGACCTACATTGAGTGGAGATTAATTACATTTATTGGGCAATGTATGTTCTTTGTTGATTCGCCTACAGAACATATCGCTGTTTCTGTGCAACTGGATACAGATCGTAAATAATCCAGTTTATTTCGGTCGCTGGTTAGTGCATTTGACAAATACTACCGCTGTCTGGACGGACAGGGACGGAAAGAAATAAAAATAAGTCGTTTCATAACAAATAACAATTAGTTCCCAGTGATGTTTATATGGAATAAAGGGATCTCAACGGTGATTTAGAGTAAGGGGGAACCGCATTCGGGTGCTAGTGAGCTTCCTGTGTTGCTGCAATAAGGTTAGCGTTGTAATTTTTAAGCCTATAGTCTAATAATAGTGACTGGGGTTTATTTTTGTAGAATCACGATGTGCAGTTACGAAAATACTTAATGCCGTCCATTAGAGCCGCTACTTAAATCGCAACGAATTATGGAAGACGAATTAGACGACCGAATTATTTACCAAACCTACATTTCTCATGTTAAACTGATCACCCGAATAGCATGGAGTGTACCTTTGAAAGTATCGCACATAACTCAAAGTAATATCTCATACATATCGTACGTGTGGAGAATGCTTAGAATGTATATCTTAAGGCCCGAGTTTATCATCTGCGGAACAATGCTTTTTCTTCTTTTTTTCTATATGCAAGCGCTTGACCTATGGAGTCGTAATTTGTTAGGGAGACTGCAGTACACGATTAGTCGGCCGAGGATGAAAGTCGACAAGTTGGGCATGTTTGCAGTCGGCGATGTGGAAAAGCAAAGTTGGGAGATGAAAGTGGGCCCGATAGCCGCCTATGCTATACAGGGGCGAAGGCCCAAGATGGAAGACCGTTTTGTCATCAACGACAACATAAATAACACCGGAGTGGCTCTTTTTGCGGTTTTCGATGGACACGGGGGCGAATTCGCCGCCAACTATGCCAAAGAGAAACTAATCCACAATTTATCCAGCAAAGTAGTCCAGATCAAGAACTTGATAGCTGGAAAACCTGCCGACCCCGAATACAGCGGTGATAAGCAGGAGGAGGAGAAGAAAGACCCGGAGAAACCCACCACGCCCATTACAACTGGGGAGAGAAGAAAAAGCTTTAAAAGAACCAGCTCGACCACCGATGAATGCATCAAAGGAGTGAAGGAAATCACCGACAATGAACTCCTGAGCAAGCTGGATAACATGAAGCCGATTACTAGAGACGCCAGGCCTTTGAAGTTAACACCCAGCATGAAGAAAGTTCCAATAACATCGTACTTTGATAAGTTTGGAACCGTCAACTACGAAAAGCTGGTGACCGATGAGGTTCTAGCCGCCGATGAGCGTCTAGTTGAAGTGGCCAAAAAGTCGCTAGACGTGGCCGGAACCACTGCGCTCATAGCTTTACTGGAAGATCATAAACTAATAGTGGCTAACGTTGGAGACTCACGCGGCGTAATGTGTGATAGTCGTGGCAATGCTATTCCATTGTCGTTCGACCACAAACCGCAACAGATGCGGGAGAGAAAACGGATCAAAGAAGCGGGAGGATTCGTGACTTTCAACGGAGTCTGGCGAGTTGCGGGCATTCTGGCCACTTCGAGGGCGCTGGGCGATTATCCGCTTAAAGACAAGAAGTTAGTCATTGCAAATCCGGACGTGTTAACATTCGACCTGAAGGACCACAAGCCCAAGTTCCTCATCCTGGCATCGGACGGTTTATGGGACATCTTCTCGAACGAGGATGCTATTAACTTCATCAAGCAACGCCTTAGTGAACCGGACTATGGTGCCAAAAGCATAACGCTGCAGTCCTACTACAGAGGCAGCATGGATAATATTACAGTGATTGTCATCAATTTTACCGACAATTCCTTTGGTTTTTATAGTAGTAAGAAATAAATTTGTTATTGCGATCGATCGCGTTTTATTCCCGGTCGAACAACCAAAAGAAACCAGCAACGATTTAATTACAAATATATTCAAAAAAGGCCCTTGTGTTTATTGTGACCAGGTGCAAAAAGCAACTGCCGATACTTACAAAGGCTTTTATTTGGGTGCTTGCACCCGCAAAATACCCAAAATAAAAGGCTTTGTGAGTGTATAACCGCCTCAGATATATATAACGTATCTACAACATACAATAGTTTCACAGTAAACATAGAGGTAATGTGTGCATCTCCAAACGATTCGTATAAAGGCTCGACAATCCGAAAGTATTTCTAAATTATCGTAAAAAAAGTTAATGGCAAATTATATAGAAACCTCTAAATATGGTTCTTGGGTCCTTCCCCTCTCTAATCAAGTCTCCCATCAATTCTAAGTGAAATTCGTACAATTTGATGACATGCTCTGGAACGTGCGTTTCCTTTGCTTGACTATAAAATCTCAAATTCCTCTTGATCGGACTGGTCGCTTAGACCCGACAGGTTTAGCTCTGAAACAATCGCAAAATGAGTTCGAGTTGTTTGGCTAAATCCAAATCCCCCTTGCCTTCAACGGTAGACAGCCACTCCTCGGTTCTCTCAAACGAAACCTCGAAGAGAGGCTGCGACTCAGTCTTTATCAGTTGGTCCTTGATGTTTTGGCAAAGGTCGTTGAAATCGGCCTCAGATCTGCAAAGGAAGCACTGGAACAAAAAAACCGCTTTAGTTAGCTGCAAAAGATAAATTCTGAAAAAATAACGTTTTGCTTTTGAATATACTGTGTGGCTCATATGAATAAGTGTCTTCAAGTTCAAATCAAGTTATAGTCCCATACATAAACTTTCTACTTATTTGAAGACGTTTGAAATGAGTTCGTTGGCGAGATACACATCAGATATGTTAGAAGACACTTCATATCAGCCACCTTGTAGTTTCAACCAAATTTGTTTGGACTTTTATTGAACTTCTACAGTCATACACACCACAGCTACTGAGGGATCCATGCCTAGCATACTCATTCTAGAAGCATGTTTACAATGGTAGCTCAGATCAACGTCCTTTTCTTCGCTGGTGTCTTTGTTCCCTACTGATCCAGCTTTTTGCGTTGTATGTGGATCGAAATAGATGACCTCATTTCCAACGTAACCGATAAAATAGAGGGCCGAGTTTGGTTTGCCGCCTATTATCCCTAAACTTTGTTTGAATTGAAAACATTGCTGAAATTCAAAATCGGCCCTGAACACTAATAGATAAATGGCCAATAGTTTACCTTTAGGCCTCCCAAGTAAATGCTGTTCATCTGCGTGAGGCCCAATCTTAAGGGCACGATAAGCAAGAGTGGTTTCCAATGCGGTGTGGAAACATCCGCTGTTTCTTTACTGAGGCAAAGGTCTCCTACAAACTAGTTGTATATACAAGGGTTTATTTTGTGGTCGCTACTCACTAATTTCACTTATAATAACTACATTGTCCAGAGCTACGTGAATGGCAACGTCGTTGCCTTCATCGAATTTTACTAATTTTCTGCAAACATTTTGGGCTTTAGACTAGTTCACGGTTTTGCAAAATCGAGAAATCTCACTTCAAAACTTGGGCAACAGTGTTGGGGCCAAACCACTGCCCAACTTCCTTCCCTTCCGATATCCCCATGCTAGCGATCTGGTGAATTGAAAATGGGGCTTTCCTAGAGTCTTCAAACTTCTTTAAAATACTTAAATACGTTGCATCTCTGGTGGTGGGATTCCATTGCCAATCTCTGCCTGAAATTACCCCCCAGTTATCCAGCAGGATTGATGGGATGGAATTTGTTACTCGCCTAAATGTATACTCATCAAAGCCTGTCCTAGCACCATTTGGCCACACCTCAGCATACAGCCCCAGCCTTTATCTGAAGTTTTCCCATCGCTGCCCCCGATGGGGACAAAATCTTTTCTATATGTAAACCATAGCTTTGATACGATGTCTTGCCTTATGGTGTTTAGTTCTGAAAGAAGCAATTGAAATTGTGAATTTTCTCGTGAATTCTTCAAAACGAAACACTGATTTTCTGGCATGCTCCCAGCAGATTTACCATTAATTGCATGATATTTCTTTCCTAAGAGCCAAACGGGCTCAGTGCTCTGGGGAATGTCATCGGGGTCTTGAGTGGAGTCGAGCACAGCCTCGAACATGCAATCCATTATGTCCCTTGTTGCGTTGCACATTTAGTTTTACTGCGTTGGAACTGAATGTGAAAAATGTGTGCAGGACATGTGCAAAATTTGGAAAACAAAAAGTGGCGATTTTCAAATGACTCTTGGATTTCAATCAGCTGTTCGTGTCAACAATCCGCGGCTTGTCGTGTCAAGAACAGCACTGCCAATAGCCAGAGCCCATGCCAGAATTGTTTTTTCCTATTTGGCTGCATTATTTCATACATTTCCAGCCTTTACTTGATTGTCGGCATTCTGCAGTGGTTAATGAATAGAAATCACGCACCTTCGGTAGACAATTCAATCGATAAATCGTATACAAACATGGGGTTTTACGTGATCCAATTGGCGCCACTGCTGGGCCAACAATTATGACTCTAGAAGCCTTGTTGTATGCTCTAGAAGATTTGACACCTAACCTACAATCTACGTATAAATACAATCAATTTGAATATAAACAATTCCTGTTTAACTAAGGAAAATTGGGAATTTTTCTCAAATTAACACGCCTGTCTATCAACTGGTATCGTGTTTTGTGTGGTGCTTTATTGAAAAATGACGACTGCTGCCCGACCAACTTTCGAGCCAGCGCGTGGGGGCACAGGCCGAAATGAGAAGGATCTAAGCGCCATTTCACGCCAGTACTCCAGCCGCGATTTACCAGGACATACTAAACTGAAATATCGGTGAGCGCACATCAATGTGCCGTTAGTGGAGTGCGGTTGTTTATTGCTATGTTTTAGGGAGCATGGACAAGGGACTCAAGAGGAAACCCGATCAAGAGATTTCCGCAGGGAGCTGGAGGATAGAGAAGGCCATAAGAAAGTAGGCGGATCCAGAAGCGCCGACCATGCAAGCAGTAAACGGTTGAAACTGGATCAGGTACTATCAGGGATAAAAGCAAGAGCTTATCAAGTAAATGATGGGTTTATTGTGCTCATTCAGGTGCCGGCTGCAAGTCTGGATGCAGATGATCCAGTGGATCCGGAAGACGAATCTGATAGCAGTGAGGATGAAGACGACACCGAGGCCCTGCTTCTGGAGCTGAACAACATCAAGAAGGAAAGAGCTTTGGGTGTGCAGAACCTTCCAGTTTCTAGTTATCAGTGGGGATTATTTTGGGGATTTTCCAGATCAAACCAAGAAGGAAATCGAAAAGCGTCAAGAAGAGGAGCGGATCAGAATGGAAAACATCCTCAGTGGAAACCCGTTGCTCACGCATTATTCAGCAGGAGCGGCCAAAGTGGACCACAAAGTCAAAAGGCGATGGGATGACGATGTTGTGTTCAAAAACTGTGCTAAAAGCGAGCCGGAAAAACGCAGCAATGTGTTTATAAATGATTCCCTTCGCTCAGAGTTCCACAAGAAGTTTATGGAGAAATATGTCAAGTAAAGACTTGATGGTTTGAGGGTAACAAATAAAACATTTACTATAGTTTTTGGTTGTTTTCTAAAAAAACTCCTAAACCCAGCAGTATGTTAATTAGCGTCCAAGCAAATTATCCACCGTTTGTTTTTGCGGCATAAATCAGTCATCGCTGATGACCACATTTGAAATTGCGCTTCGCCTGGGCTATTTTTAGCCCAAAAGTGCCTTTCCTATTTAATCCAGTTTCGCTCCCGGCAATGCGAATAACTTCTTTCAGTCCCTGAGGCATTTTTGCTTAGTGACTCATTAGAACCAGAAGGGAAATAAATCAAGTTGCAGGGGGCAAAAATGCCTTTCTTATGATCCGATAAGGACGTTTCACTTCAGTCAAACAGGCGCCGGCTAAGAAGGTGGTCCACTCTTTGTTGAAGATTTCAAGGGGGCGCCAACAATCAGTCCTAAGTCGGAAACGGTGTTTTGTTAAACAGAAAAGGCCCTAATCGGCTACGATTGTTCTATTGAGAGCGGACGAACCATGCAGCAGCAGGTAGCAAAGGTGAACCGCAACAGTTTATTACTCGAACCCATCAGCGATCGTGGAGGGGACCAAAGATTTCAAGAACTTGTTTCATTATCCGAGAGTACCTGCTTTTGCTTTCCACCGCGCCAAGCAAAACTATGCCCGCAGCAGGCAATCGTCTCAAGTTATTTTCTAATTAAAATAGCTGTGGGCGTCAGCTTCTTACAAGCACGAAAATTGACGGAGTTTTAAGTGCGCCACTCTTTTCTGTTAGTAGAAAATGCGGGCTGTTATCCTGCTGGTGCTCGGTGCGGGTTTTCTCCTGTTCGGTCCCGTTTCCTGCAAGGTTGAACCAGGGGTTTATGTTGATAATGGCATGGGACAGACTTCGTTGGATCGCCACATGACCAACGCGGAAAAACGGGAGCTGGAAATGGAGTTTTTGAATTTGCTCGGTCAGTATGAAGGGAAACAGAAGCTAGTTTCACTTCTATCAGTGCCACGGTTTGCAACCTTCATGGAGATTTGTGCGTTATTTACTGGGTGAAAAAGATTCAGTGTTAAATTGGTGGAAAAAATCGCTATTTAAAGAGTTTACGGGAAATTTACATTCACTGATTGGAGTGCAAAGCAAATTTAATCAAAACGCAGCCAATTCGCTTTGAACTAATCTGCTGTTGATTTAAGGTGAAATTTAATGGTATCTACAACTAAGGGCGGATCCAGGGGGGTCATGACCCGCCCCCACATTCAATTCTCTATCCAACGATGCCAAAACGAATTCTGGGGCTCGAATGGTTCTTGAGAAACTTCGAAAAAAGCAGCGTCATGTTCAAGTGGATTTTGCAACAAAAAAAACTTCTTGAATTCAAGCATTTTTCGAGAAAACTGCCAATATTTTCTCATCCATGGTTCACTTTCTAAAAAGGCCATTCATTTCTCTCTAGAATGATGTGCACATGAGCGTTCTTGCTCATTTTGCCTCCGAGATATGAGCAAAAACGGGCCGGAAAACATGAAATTTTGGCATAATCTTGCACCTAAGTGTCTGATA